CATATATGTACACGTATCTATATATATGAAAACGCAAGAAAGAAAAAAAATCCAGAGAAAAACACCCCGGCACGTAAATCGAACGTAGGATCTCTGTGTCATAAAAACGTGGCCTTAGCCACCCCGGAGTACATCCTTCACTGTTCAAACGGCAAGCTGCTTATATCTACCACTTACGACTGCTCAACAGCATCTCGTGGAGTAATTGTGTTTTCAGCATTACCAGCAAGATGGCGCCATGAGCAGGCGTCTTCACATCGCGCAGCAGTGCCCATTCTAATCTTATACGCTTACTTTGTCCGGCTTTGAGAAGGAGAGCGACGCTCCCTCACGCGCGCTTATCTCGCGGCGGTGAAGAGAAAAAGGTCGTACGCCTTGGCTAGCCTCGGGCTTTACCTGGAACAATTATGCTGTAGATACCGGGCGCACAAAGGTCACTGCAATCGTTGTAGTCTCCGTTTGCGAAAAGTGCGAGCTTTTAAGACACAGCAAAGTAACAAATGATAAGCTTATTCACGTGCATCCATACCTTTGAGTACGTTTCGTGCGTCATTTGTGCGTGAAGAAAGCGGGGCATGTTTCGATCTGCTTTCCATTCTGCGCGTAACCTTTCATCAAAGTGTTGCTATCGCGTTCATTGCTACGCCTTTCCGGTTTTCATCGGGTCTTGCTTGAAACTTCATGCTTCCTCGATTTAGCTGCAAATAACACAAGCCATTCTTGCTTTAAGCCTATCCGGAGTGTTTAATAACACATAGGCGATTTATTTCTTGCAGTGTTGTATGCACACAAAATTTGTTTTACCTAAGAAAGTGACATAACAGCTGTGCTGCCTTGTGGATCGTTGAGCTCGGCAGTGGTATTTTGTAAGCTCAGAGAAGCATGATATTCCCCTGAGATATCCATGGCTGTATCACAGGGCATTGCGAATTCAAAAGTGATGGTCGATGGAAGACCCCAACCACAACGCTCAAGCATTAGCGGTGAGGGTCTGCTGGCGACTAGATAGTGGTTATAAGTGTAGTAGCCAACGTATGACGCGCCGTACTGACGTCACAGGCTACGTCATGTGCCTGTACTTATATTGGCATGCGAGCCGCTTGCTTATCACATTAAACCTTCGCCACCAACTGAGTCCAGCGTCGCCTTGCTCGCCGGCTACAACAGATGGCGACGAAGATGGGATAGGCTGCACCGAACGACGGGGGCGGATCCTGTGAGCAACGACAGCTGGAAGGCGAAAGGCAAGGTATGGCGAAGATGTGGGAATTTGACGCCTTCATAGAAGAAGGATACGAAGATTTCGCTTCGTATGTAGAACGGTTTGGGCACTATTCCAAAGTAGCCGACGTACAAGACGAAGAACCTAAAAAGTCAGCCTTCATCTCTGCCATAGGAAAGAAAGCGTACAAGACGCTCAAGGACCTTCTTCTACCTGCAAAACCTGAAGAGAAGACGTTCGAGGACTTGGTGAAAGTGCTGAGTGGCCACTACGAGCCTTCTAGTCAAGTCATTGCGGAGCTTTTCAAATCCAACAGGAGGTACCAAGGAGAATAGGAGTCCGTCGCGGCATTTGCAGTCACGCTGAAGCACATGGCAGCCAAGTGCAACTACGGTACGTTTCTCGACGACGCTTTACGGGACCGGTTCGTCGCTGGGTTACGGAATTCCACCGTTCAGACGAGTTTACTGAAGAGGAAGGAACTGACGTTCGAATCGGCCTGCGTTTTTGCTAAGAGCGTTGAGCTAGCGGAGCGGGAGTCGAGGGGATTCCGACCAACTGCGAATACGGATGCCGACATTCACGCTCTAAAGAAGACGGGGAAGGAATCGGAGTTTGCCAGCAAGCCGAAGAACAGTTCAATGCAAAGCTGCTATTGATGCGGTCAAGAGAAGGACGCTCGTTGCTGCTGTTATCGTAAATTCAAATGCCATCTTTGCAAGCGCGTGGGACATTTGGCGCGCATGTGCAGATGCAAGCAACCGGCGCCTGGCACCGTCCACAACGTAAGTGACGAAGCGAGCGGAGGCACAGAGCTGCTGCTGCGCGGTGTGTATCTGGTGGGCACGGAACAACCATATGAAGTTGAAGTACAGATAGCCGGCCAGCTTGTGAAGATGCAAGTAGATACGGGTGCAGCCGTGTCACTCGTTCCGAAATGCGTTTACCGGCAGCGAAAGCAGCCGCCGCAGCTTGCGAAGTGCGAGATGAAGCTCAAGACTTACGGCGGAGCGACGCTACAAGTGAAAGGCCAAGCGGAGGTTTTGGTCGATTATAAGGGACAGCGGAAAGTCCTGTTAATCATCGTGGTACCAGGAGAGAAGCCAACACTCCTAGACCGCGACTGGATTGCAAACCTCGGAATGGACCTAAACAGCATTCACGAGGTGCACGCACAACCGTCTGTCGACAGCATCCTGTCAAGGTATGCCAGCGGTTTTTTTCACCTGGTTTAGGGTTGATAAAGGGTTACCAAGCAAAACTGGTGCTTAAGGAAGGAAGCATGCCAGTCTTTTGCAAGGCGCGGTCTCTGCCGTATGCCATTCGTGAACCTGTCGAGCATGAGCTAGGCAACTTGCAAAAAAAGTGCCGCCATATCCACGAAGTGAATGATGATGAGTGGGCGAAGCTCCGGAGGTAGACCTGGTAAACAATGAATCCTCTGTACATTTTGCCCACTCGATTTATTACATCGCTCCCCCTAGCGTACGTCGCCGCACTAAATTGAACGATTGCCTTCAACCAATGACACGCGCCATATGTGACATCACTCCTATTTTATAAGATCTCGCGTCTTTCATCAACTACAAGTACCGCTTTCTAGTTTATAACATCTTGCATCTTTTCATCATCAGCTACAAGTACCCCCCTCTAGTAAACACTACAAGAACTAAACGAGAGGTGGCTACATACAGGAGACGGTACCGCCATCTAGTGAACACTGCAAGAACTAAACTAGAGGTGGCTACATACAGGAGACGGTACCGCCATCTAGTGAACACTGCAACAACTAAACTAGAGGTGGCTACATACAGGGGACGCACAGCCCACGCCCTAAGGAGCTTCGCCCCTAAAAGAGGGCGTACTGGTGCCCGTAACCCGCAGCGACTGGGCCACGCCGCTGGTAGCTGTTCACAAGCCAGACGGCACAGTACGATTGTGTGGAGACTATAAATTGACGGTAAATCCATGTGTGAAGACCGACCATTACCCACTGCCCGCGGTGGAGGATTTGTTCACGACACTAGCTGGGGGCAAGGTTTTCACCGTTCTGGACCTTTCGACGGCATATCAGCAAATCGGGGTGCACCCTGATTCACGACCTTTGCTGACTATAAACTCTCACATGGGGTTGTTCCAGTATGTTCGAATGCCGTACAGAATCTCAAGTGCACCTGCAGTTTTCCAGGCAATCATGAACGAGCTGTTGAAAGGACTACCGGGAGTGGTATGCTACCTCGACGACGTCCTCATCACGGGAGCATCGCATACCGAATGCCTGGCCTGGGTGGAAGCAGTCCTGCAGGTTTTCATGGACCACGGCGTAAAAGTGAGAAAGGAAAAATGCAAGTTTTTCTTGAATATTGTCAAATATCTTGGGCATATCATTGACGAAAATGGTGTGCACCCGTGCGTCGAGAAGATTGAAGCCATAAGGGAAGCACCCACTCCTAAGAACAGCAGTGAGCTTAAAGCGTACCTTGGCATGATAACTTTTTACTCCAAGTTCATGCCAAACATGTCTTCGAGGCTAAAGCCTTTGTATGCGCTGCTTCAGAAGGATAAGAAGTGGGTCTGGTCCGCAAAAGAAGAAAAAGCCTTCGCGGAGAGTAAGAGCCTCCTTACGCAAGCGAGCGTGCTAATATTCTATGACCCAAAGAAGCCTCTTGGATTAGTCTGCGACGCCTCTCCTTACGGGGTTGGCGCAGTGTTGTTTCATGTCGTGAACGGGGAAGAAAGGCCGATAGCTTATGCGTCACGCACTTTAAGCAAGGCCGAAAGTGGCTACGCACACATAGAAATGGAAGCGTTGGCTGTGTTTTTCGGAATCAAACGGTTTCACAAGTATCTTTACGGCCGTGAATTCACCATTTATTCCGATCACCCTCCCCTGGAGGGACTGCTGGGGCAAACAAAGCCAATTCAGCAAATGGCAGCAGCACGCATGCAGCGCTGGATGCTAGTGCTAGCTGCATATCGCTACAAATGGGTATACAGAAAGGGAGCCCAAGTAGCAAACGCGGACGCGTTATCGCGATTACCGCTTCCGAACGACACCAACGAAAGCGACTACGTTCACTTCTTTTCAGCAGTAGAAGCCGTACCACTATCTGCGAAAAGGATCAATGACGAAACCCAAAAAGACCCAGTTTTGTCTAAGGTGCTGATGTATGTTTTGAATGGATGGCCATCGTACGTGTCAGAAGACAACGTAGCCCCATTCTTCTCGCGGAAAGACGAACTGTCGGTAGACTGTGGTTGCATAACATGGGGAACTCGGGTTGTTATACCTGAAGCGGTACAATCGGAAGTCTTATCGCTTTTGCATGAAGGGCATCCAGGCATCACTCGCATGAAAATGCTATCAAGAAGCCATGTGTGGTGGCCAAAGTTGTGCGACTGCATCGAAGAAACTGTAAGAGGTTGTTCAACTTGCCAACTAACGCAGAACTCTGCGCCCTACGTGCCGATGTTATCGTGGGGATGGCCAACCCGCAGGTGGCAGAGAGTTCACCTGGATTTTGCCTACTACAAGAACGACTGGTTTTTAGTGCTTGTCGATGCGCACTCCAAGTGGGTGGATGTTCTGCACATGAAGTCCACTACAGCACAGGCGACAGTTGAAAAACTCCGCACTGTTTTTGCTGCATTTGGGCTTCCCGAGAGAATTGTGACTGACAATGGGCCGCAATTTGTGTCTGCTGAATTCACAAATTTTCTCAACTCCAATGCAGTGCAGCACACCAAGACACCACCTTACCACCCAGCTTAAAATGGCATGGCGGAGAGGCTTGTCCAGACCGTCAAGCGAAGCTTCATCAAACAGCTACGGGACGAGCAGAACACGGGAGTGACTCGGACGATGCAACATTGGGTAGACCAGTTCCTGTTCACCTACCAAAACACACCGTGTTCGACGACCGGTAAGACGCCAGCCGAACTGTTTCTCTCATGGAGGCCACGCACGAGGCTGAGCATCTTGCATCCGGAGCTAGCGAAACGTGCCGAAGCAAATGTAGCTCGAAGACAGGGTCAGGAAACCCATACTTCATGGAGGGAGTTCGAGGTTTGCGACAACGTTCGTGTGCGAGGAAACCGACCGAGTGATCCACGTTGGTTGGAAGGAACAGTTGTGCGACGAGTTAGCAAAGGATACATAGTCCGAATCGAAGACCACGAGCGCTTTCTGCATGCGGACGATATTGTTCCTAACACATGCCTTGCTCCTCTTCCCAGAAGCGTGTGGATTCCTGAGCAAACCCGCATGGCACAGCAGGGTTCCACTCCGTCACAAAGCGACAGCGACACCGCATCGCCGCCGGACGGGCCTGCACCAGAGCAACGACTTGCGCCACCTGACCGAGCCAGCGTGACGGAACTGCCATCACAGCAGGCGCCTGACGCCAGCTCCCAAGAAAACGTCGCGCCACCTGAATTGCGATGAAGCAGAAGAATTCGAAAGCCTCCCGAACGTTTTGGCTATGCTGCTAAAAAAAGGGGGAAGAGATGTAGTAGCCAACGTATGACGCGCCGTACTGACGTCACAGGCTACGTCATGTGCCTGTACTTATATTGGCATGCGAGCCGCTTGCTTATCACATTAAACCTTCGCCACCAACTGAGTTCAGCGTCGCCTTGCTCGCCGGCTACAACAATAAGTTGTAGATACTTTCTGTTCGCAACCTTTACCTAGTGATGGTCTCTTAAGATTTACTATATAACAACCTAGCAGTAGTAAGGCAGGACGGCCTAGCCAGAAGCGAAGAATTAAATCATTTCTTTTTCAGAGTATGCATTACGGGACGTTCCGTACCCCAAAAATATTTCGTGGTGCGTTGTTTACAATATATAGAAAGCATACTGTAGCATACCTATGCGACAACTTCATACCGTTTATTTGCCTCCAGTGCATTAATTGACAGTTCAGACAGACACGCTATGAGCCTTCGCATTGCTTTCTGCACTGTAGCTGCTGAAATCCTCGTCAGGCTGCTCTATATATGTGTCCATCCGCTGTATCAGCTCCTTGCCTCTATACACGATGCATAGTCTTGGGCGAGTAAAGGGTATTTACCACAGACTGCGGAACTGTGAGCTCACTTGAAGGTTAAGTACGTTATGCAACGACCAACCTCTTAGAATCATGTATACAGGTTATTGAAATAGTTAATTTCTTGCTAACAGGGAATCCACCAAGATGGTTAAACTGCACGTTATGGAACGACCAGCCTCTTAGAATCATCTATATGGGTTATTGAAATAGTTAATCTGTTTCTAACAGGGAAATCCACAAACAGGGTTAAACTTTTCAGATCAAAACAAGGAAATCGGTACTGCATTTCCGATGGAGGCGGAAATGTTGTAGGCCCGTGTGCTCAGATTTGGGTGCACGTTAAAGAACCCCAGGTGGTCGAAATTTCCGGAGCCCTCCACTACGGCGTCTCTCATAATCATATGGTGGTTTTGGGACGTTAAACCCCACAAATCAATCAAGGAAATCGGTAACTTTTTCGGCCCCTTTGGGGGGGGGGGGGCGGGCTAAAACTGGAGAGCCCCCTTCATTTGAGCCATTTGAACCCTGGATAACCCACCCCTTTACTGAAGACAAGCGACCACGCCGCGCCTCCGGAAGGATGTCGAATCTACCGCGGTAATATGTTGGCGAGAACACCATGCTGTGCATAAGACTAAGAAGCGGGTGAAAGGTGGTGCTTGAGCACATAATAAACGAAAAGGAAGTGTTCAACCCGGGCGACAGGGGTGTTGATTTCATCTCTGTCTCAACAACGACATTATGAGTGCGTGCACAGTGTTGTGTGGTGTAGTTTGGTGATGTTTACCCTTGGTAATACGCACGTGTGTTTGGCTAGTATAGGCTTCAACTAATTAAATTTACCGATATGTGTTTCATGCTTATGTCTACTGTGACACGGCTATTCATTTTTGTGCAGACATTTCTCACTTCAAACAAGCTTCTTTTTTCGAGATTTTATGTAAGCATGCAACGATTCTGGCTGTCTTCCTTATTTTTTATTCAGTGGAGATCAGTGTCCTTTTATGCTGTCACATGTATACCCACCGATACGTAAGGCATTAAATCCAATAAAGATGTTAGAATCGTTAGGATATTTCCGATACCTACTTACCCAGAATATGCACGTCCTTGTTCGTGTCGTGCTATCAGAAAACAATTTCCAGCCATATAAAAATTGAAAAAACTGGCATACATGCCTGATGCACGATAAAGCAAGATTACTGAACATATACAGAAATCATTGTTTAGCGTGGCTGTGACAGGATATACGTAGCATGAGCTGCGCACAGATGGACGAAGGCATCACGGATAGACCAATGGACGACGAACCACAGATGGATGGACTCGTGAGTGAGCGATCTATTGCAATGCAGCACCAGAACTAACCTATTTAGGTTTTCCTTCTTCCCGCGAATTGTAAACAATTTGAATAAATTGGAAGCATCACAAATAACAAAGACAGATTCTAATGAACGTATTGTGAGATGGCGTCCAGTACCCTCAAGACTCTTCTTTATTGTCTCGAGTATGTGCCCCACAACCTAAACTGGAGTGGTGATGATGAGTATGTACAGATGAAAAGATGGAACGAGTAATGATGCTCACACTTATTTCCCCCGCGCACTTGATCGGCCGACCCGGCCGAGACTTAGGCGGGAAAGGTACGGCGAACAAAAGGTTTAAGGGGTGAAACGTGAACTATCTCGGATGCACGGTAATGACGGTCCGAGGAACCCTCGACGGGAGTGACAAGGGAATTGACAGGAGATGTTCGTTCACTAACAACGTAAGGTCCGAGAAAGCGTGACTGAAACTTTTAACACAATCCGGGTGTACGAACAGGCGTCCAAAGTAGTACTTTCATCTCCAGGACGGAAGGTGACATCTCGGACGAAAGCTGTCGTATCCGTTGCTTTGCGGTCTAGTTGACTGGCCTCCGTGTTGAGTTGAGCACGTTGCCGTGCGTCAGCGAGCCTGGAGACGAAATTTTCTGGCGTAGTCATGGACGTCTTTGTCGTTACATTGAAGAAAGAGGTGTCAATAGTGAATGTCAGGCGCACGACCATAGACGAGGAAGAAAGGTGAATACCCAGTTGTTCGTTTAACAGCGGTGTTGTGTGCAAACGTTACGAACGGCAAGATTTTGTCTCAGTTATCGTGGTTCGGTCCCGATATACATGGATATCATGTCAATTAGAGTCCGTTGGAATCGCTCTGTCAGGCCATTTGTCTGCGGGTGGTAAGCGGATGTGGTCTTATGAACTGTGCCACAAGGTTTTAGAATTTCGTCAAGAATTGTCGACATGAAGGCCTTGCCCCGGTCACTCAACAACGTGCGAGGTGCACCATGACGCAACACAATGGCTTCTAAAAAAAGGCGGCAACGTCTGAGGCGGAGCTAGTGCGTAGAGGAGCAGTCTCCGCGTATCGTGTGAGGTGGTCGATGGCTGTGACGATCCAGCGGTGGCCCGCTGGCGTTACGGGAAGTGGTCCGACGAGGTCTATTCCGACAACGACAAAAGGTGTATCGGGACATGGAATGGGTTGTAATAATCCAGCAGGAGCAGAAGTTGGTCGTTTCCGGCGTTGACACAGTGCACAAGAAGCGACATAATTAGCCACAAAGGTAGAAAGACCAGGCCAGAAGAAACGGCTCCTAACGCGGTTGTAGGTCTTCTGAAATCCCAAGTGTCCAGCTGATGGATCGTCGTGGAGTGCTTGGAGAACTTGTTTTCGCAGTGGACGGGCAAGTACTGGCACCCACCGATGCCCATCCGCATTGTAAGTATAGCGCTGCAGGACATTGTTGTCTAGCTTGAACTGCCGTAGCTGACGACGTAGTCTGGCATTAGGTGGAGAAGGCGAGTCATTCAAGTACCCGATGATGCGGTTACAGTATCGGTCGTCACGTTGGCACGCGGCAAACTGAGCGCTGCTGTTTAAAGATAGTGGCCCAGCAACTGCCAGGGGTGATAACGTGAGTGCAGAGGAAGCCGCTTGATCACCTGAGGGGCATCGAGGATGCGTGGTTGGAGATGAAAGTGGCAAAGGGCAGCGAGAGAGAGCGTCGGCATCCTGATGCTGTTTGCCAGACCTGTACACAACGTCAAAAGTGTACTCTTGCAAACGGAGTATTCACCGACCGAGTCGCCCAGACAAATTCTTCAGCGAGGACAACCAGCATAGGGCAGGGTGGTCGGTAATGACAGTGAAGTGGCGGCCATACAGAAAGGTCAAAACTTCTGGATGGCCCAAACGACTGCAAGGCATTACTGCTCTGTTATCGAGTAGTTCTGCTCTGCAGGTGTTAGTGCGCGGCTGGCATACGCAACTACTCGCTCACGTGAAGTGTCGTTGCGCTGGAGAAGGACGGCACCGATTCCGTGACCGCTGGCATCTGTGTGAAGGAAAGTGTGTGCGCTCTCATCGAAGTGACGGAGGACGGGGTCTGATGTCCAAGCACGTTTAAGGGCTTGGAAAACACACTCGTACTCGTCAGTCCAAGTGAAGGCCATTCCTGACGTAAGAAGCTTGTGTAACGGCCCCGCAATGGCAGCAAAGTGACTGATAAAGCGGCGGAAGTAAGACGCCAGGCTCACGAAGCTTCGCCATTGTTTTTGATTGCCCGGACGTGGAAAATTAATTACGGCAGCAACCTTGTCGGTGTCGGGCCGAACGCCATCTTTGCTGAGAAGGTGACCCAATACTTTGATGCTCCTGCTGGCGAAGTGGCACTTTTTTGTATTGAGCTGAAGCCCAGCGTTCGAAATGCACGTAAGAACTTCGTCCAAACGCTTAAGGTGCTGAGGAAAAGTACAAGAATGAATTACGATATTGTCCAAATAGCATAAGGAGGTTTTCCACTTTAGACCACGTAAGACAGTATCTATCATGCGCTCGAATGCTGCTGGAGTGTTGCATAAGCCAAAAGGTATGACGTTGAACTTTTTTGTTTTTTTTTGCCTTATGTTGTTACCTGTATTTGCGCATGTACCGCGGCTTTTCACCCCTGAGCAATGTATTGGTAGGGGGGCCTTTGTCAGGCAGTTGCATCTGCCTTTAGCCCCTTCATCCCAGACCATGACTGTCTGAATAAACTTCTTATCTATCTATCTAACTCGTAAAGCCCATCAGGCATTGCAAACGCTGTTTTCCCCTTCTCTGCTTCGCGCATAGGTATTTGCCAATACCCGGATCAAAGGTCAAGGCTGGAGAAATATTCTGCGCCTTGTAAGGAGTCCAGGGCATCATCTATGCGTGGCAACGGATATAGATCTTTTTTCGTTATCTGATTTAGCGTTCTGTAATCAACACAAAAGCGGACAGAGCCATCCTTTTTCCGGACCAACACCACAGGAGACGATCGAGAGCTGGATGAAGGTCGAATAATATCCCGTTTGAGCCTGTCG